CACATGAGATTTGTTTATAGTGGTGAAGGCCTTGTGCAGGACCAGCCACACTTTTGGAGGGACGAATACAGAAACCTGGTGCACCAAATGCATGCCACAAGGTTCCCAAACGACCCTCCGCAGGTTTTGAATTCAGAGTTGTCCTTCTCCTAGACCAGTTGCCATCCAAGGCTATAGAACCCAGTCTGTCCTGCTATTTTACCCATAGCTGGAGGGAGATGAAGAGGATACATACCTTTCCCAAGGGTATTAGTATATATATATAGATAGATATATATATAGATTGTATATATATATATATATATATATATATATATATATATATATATATATATATCTATATATATATATATATATATATATATATATATATATATATATATATATATATATATATATATATATATATATATATATATATATATGGGGAGATTGTATATCAAAGTGGAATATTTTACTTGTTGCGCGTTTTTCGTCATTGAGGACTTCATCGGACTGAATCTTTTTTTTTTTTTGGGACTACACATGCGCACGACAGAGTGGTACTGGGAATTTTAGAATGTTTTTTTTTTTTATCAGCCGAACTTAGTCTTTTTTTCTTTTCTTTCCATCATTTTTGTAAGGAGGTATTCCATACTGTGATATTAGAAGTTCTGTCATGAATGGTGAAATGTTGCAAGACCCAAGACTCAAATTTACTGTAGATGACCTTGCGATTAAATCACTCTATAGACATTTTTTTCGTAATTTTTTCTAGATTGCGAATGCGTACAGGTAAACTGCTGTAAATGATTAGAGATTTTAAATGCATCTTTGAAATGAAAACTCAATTTTGAGACAACAACATACCTGTCCACTTTCGCAATTTAGAAAAATTCTTCTTGAAAATACTTCTATAATTTTTCACGAAAAAAGTAAACATAAACTAAAAATTCTTGAAGTCATCTATATTAAAAAATTGAAATCAAACCTTAATAAAATTAATTATGAATACTACACCAATGTTTTAAAGTGTTTATAGTAGATGATTTAAACTATCTAGGTTTTAACTAATATCTTTAAATAGTTTTTTAAAAAATATACATCATAATAACTTAGTTATCTCCCTTGACGTTACTGCACAAGTATGCTTGCGTCATAAAATTTTAAAATCGTACAGTACATAGGTTTAGCGTTTTTCACTTCACAAACAACAACAACAAAAAAAATTCGGATAAACACAACAAATTTGTTGTAAATAAAACAAGACCCTGATAAAACAAGGCCTTGAAGATGACATAGTGCTGATGTCGAAAGTACTCAGAAAAAATGAATATGCATCAATATGGTAACATTATTTCTTACTTTAATAAGATTCTAAGAAGCTTGTCCCTGAATATGAGAGGATCGACTTAAAAGTAAGTAGACAAACATATTTAAATTACTTAATGAAACATATAAATATATATATGTGTGTGTGTGTGTGTGTGTTAATTAGTTCAAGCGTTATTTTCAGTGGATACTCGTATTTGAGTAGACGCTCCGTTTTTTCAAACAGTGTTTATTTCATCTACCAGTCTGTGCAATCGGGAAAACTTAATAAAGTAAATATAACCTCCAGCAGGATTCGAACCCGCATCCTCTTTGCAGGAGGAATAACCGTCTAATCGGCTAGCTTTGACCTTTTGGCTACGAATATCTTCACATTTATGTGTGCGTGCGTGTGTGCGCCTTTCACAGACTGGGTATATTTCACCCTGGACCGTGCATAAATAACTACATCGCTTTTATGGGTACTTAGACAAGTATATTATAATGTAAATGACATACTTTGTTCCTAATGTTTTTCTACAGAAGGAAGCTGAGAATACGATAGACTGAACATGTGAGCAACGACGAAGTTTTTAGGCTAAATGGAACCAAAAATGCCACTTATACTTAACATCAGGAAGAAACAGCTGACATTTATAGGTCATATAATGAGGAAAGAAGGCTTGGAAAATTTGATACTCACAGGACAGATTGAAGGCAAGAGGGACATAGAAATGCATAACCTACCTAGCGAACTTAAATAAATGGATAGCGGTGTCAGATTTAGAAATGATAACAAAAAGACAAAATTTATTATAAGCTACAAAGGACAGGAAATTATGGAGAGCCATGATCGCCAACGCCCTGAATGTACACAGCACGTAGAAGAAGGATCCTGATGCTTTCTGCTTATCGTTATTTCCCAGTTTTTTGCCATTAGTATTTTACATCTTAATTGCATTTCGATTGAACTTTATTAAATCTTTCTCTTAACATATATATATATAAATGTCATTCGTAGGCAGTACTGTTTCGCAGCTCCTCAGTGCAACTAGACATCCGAATGCTTCAAGCCAGGACCGAAACCCGACCAATTTGGTGTCAGTCAGAGTTTCTACCCATGAGCTACCATCATTCAGCAGAGAGAAGCGGGTAAATCTAGCGCATTGTTTTTTTACGAATATAAACAAACGCCAATCAACCAGAGGGCTCCAATTCATTTTACTGAAGAGCTTTGCATTCGCGCAGGTGGCCGTTGTTTATAGAATCAATTTATCTCTTAACAGTGCTCAATTGAAATATATTTTTCAAGATTATATATATATATATATATATATATATATATATATATATATATATATATATATATTGTAGTGTTGTGGACCCGGAAGAGGTTCGAAAGAAAACTCGAACTCAGCAATTCAGTGAAAACGGATTATTAACAAAAGAACGAATACAGTAGTGTTGCACGTCCGTCTGACGTCTAAGCAGAGTAGTCAACACGTTCGCAATATTTAACGATCCCCCACGAGGAATGTATGTGGCATAAGGCCGGGTTTAATGTGGGTTTCTCCGAGCCCGTAGGCTCGGCTTAAAAAAATAGACCCTCTGAAGCCGCCTAGACGGGTTCAGGGCCTGTCTACCTCCCCGGACAAAACTTTGCCCTTCGGCAAAGCTTCGTCCGGGTTCCTCTCTGCTAATGCAGAGAGTTCGACAGAAGTCGTACACGTAGTCAACCGTAGTCAACTCGTTCGCTCCTCTACAGTCTTCTTGCGGGGCATAATCTAGTCATAGACGTGTATTTTGTCCATGAAGGTAGGTCCGCTCTTGCCAATATTGATGGGGGTTTCCATCCGAACCATCTATTTGATAGGTTTCACAGTTTTTAAGTTGGCTATGATTGGAGGCGCGTCGAAGTTACGAGTAAAGAACGCAAAATGTGTCGCTCTTAGTTTCGACTTTCTTTATCGAAAGTCTTTGTAATGGGCGCCATTAATTCTCACCTCTGCCGTAAGGAAATGCAGAAATTCACCGATGAATGCTTACAATTCACTTATACAGCATGAAGCAATACAGGATTTTAAAACGAAACAAGAAAATCATCTGCAAAGATATATGCACTTGTGTATACTAGCCACTACTAATTTTGAGCTACGAAATTTTGGAGAGAGAGCAGACTGAGGTATATGGTAATTTACTAAGCGTCGCTAAGATGTGGCACAAGGCCGAATGTTTGAAGCACCCAGTGAGGATCGAACTCACTATTCAGTCGTAATTGAGCTATCAAGACAAGCTTACTAACCATTACACCACGCCGAAGTGTCCTTATGGATTTTCTAAGCAGGGTTTACATGTGGCACACAGCCGAAATTATGGAGCATCCAGTGAGGATCGAACTCACTACTCAGTCGTAATTGATATAGCGAGACAAGTTTGCTAATAATTACACCACGTCGAAGTGCGCAAAGTCTGATAGATAGATAGATAGATAGATAGATAGATAGATAGATAGATAGATAGATAGATAGATAGATAGATAGATCTGGAATGTCTGTTTTTATATATTTTAAGGTAATATTCGATCAATTCTGAACATGACATGTCCTCATTATTAAACAAATTAAGTAGATTAGATTAGATTATAGATAGATAGATAGATAGATAGATAGATAGATAGATAGATAGATAGATATGAACAGATTGAGATAGATACATGATCAACAGTCTGAGATAGATAGATAGATAGATAGATAGATAGATAGATAGATAGATAGATAGATAGATAGATATGAACAGCCTGAGATAGATAGGTAAATAGATATGAACAGAGATACATAATCAACAGTATGAGATAGATAGATAGATAGATAGATAGATAGATAGATAGATAGATAGATAGATAGATAGATAGATATGATCAGAATTGCTAATAATTACACCACGTCGAAGTGCGCAAAGTCTGATAGATAGATAGATAGATAGATAGATAGATAGATAGATAGATAGATAGATAGATTTGGAATGTCTCTTTTTATATATTTTAAGGTAATATTCGATCAATTCTGAACATGACGTCCTCATTATTAAACAAATTAAGTAGATTACATTAGATTATAGATATATAGATAGATAGATAGATAGATATGAACAGATTGAGATAGATACATGATCAACAGTCTGCGATAGATAGATAGATAGATAGATAGATAGATAGATAATGAACAGTGTGAGATAGATAGGTAAATAGATTATCGTCTGAAGATGTGATAAGGAAACGGTATTTTTAACTTAATTTTTTTTCAATGTGTTAAACACGAATATCGAAGTCTTTTTTTCAGCCACTTTGATAGAAAAATGAACTCGAAAAATAGAGATGTAGTTTTTTATTTATTTATTTATGCGTTTATTAATAATTTATATCGATATCTGACGATGAGATAAATCTATTATATGTATGAAAGATAAAAAAAAAAGAAAAAGAAAAAAAGATTAACCCAAAACTTCAACAATTGAGTAGAGAAATACTTCTGACCGGGCAATGCTGGATTAGGCCACTGGTGATCACATTTGAAAAAAACAAAAACTACCGGGACGGGCTAGGGATGGAGACATCTGCTCACGACCCGTGGCAAGCTTAAACAAACGAAACCAGGCGTGTCGATGAAGATGTGAATGATTATCAGTGTTGACGCTTTACCGTTTTAATAACAATGCCCTCCTTCCCACTTTGCACCCAATTGAAAAGACACCGCTACTTTTCTCTCTCACACTCTCTCTCCCTTTTACTGTCTCTGTCCCCCATCTCTCTCTCTCTCTCTCTCTCACACACACACACACACACGTGCATACACAAATATTCTCTCTCTTTGTTTTCCTCTTTTTTTTCTTTTTTTGTAGTGCTATTCTCCTCCTCTTCCGCCTACTCTCTCTCCCCACCCAACTAACCATCGTGGTCGAGTAAGGGTTCTGGCAGCTAGTGTTTGACCGACCACAGAATAATCTCCTTGCCGCGTTTTTAAGCCTTTTTACTCCCACCATCCTTGACAGGTTTATTCAGATCGTCCATAAAAAAATCATAGCGTAACATAGCAGGTTTGTAAAGTAACAACAGAACAGAGTCGTTTATGACTTGATGCTGTTGCAGAAAAGAAATTACACTTCCTTTTTGGAGCGATATGTACGTTCCACCAATTTTACTCGTGTTTATTCCGACATCGCTACTTTTTCTTCTTCTTTTTTCCTTTATAGGTTGTACTTATTGTTTTTATATTCTCACATATTTCTAATACGCCATTCTCTCTCTTGCGCACGCGCGTTTCCTTCTGGAAGGAAAAACAAATATGTCAGAAAATGAAATTTGTTTTCGAAGTAACAAATAAATTAACTCCCTCCTCTTTTATCTCTCGCATAAGAACATCCTGATTCGAGAGAATTCTCAATAATGCTCCGTTGAGACATACACAAACGTATGTTTAATTATTTTTATATACGTATGTGGATGTGCCGGTGGCGTAGTGGAAACTGGTGTGAAAAGCAAAATGCAACGAACCGCGTTCAAATTCAGGTCTAGATTGTTGTATTCACAAATGACTTTACATGTATCTGTCACTTCTCTCCTCCCTCAAGCTATGAGTTAAATACCATTTTCTAACATCGAATGGTAACTTGTATAAGAGAAGAATAAATATGAATTCAGAATTGTAGAAAAGATAATGGAATTTTCCAAGAATCCATTATATATGAGATACCGATATATAAATTTTTATATATCAAAAACTATATTAGAAGTGGTAGGGATGTATGACAAAGTAAAAAAAAAAAGATTTCCATGTTTCGCGTTTGGTCTTTTAAGACGTTATCGGACTAAATTTGTTACGTTAGTCTGGGGATTCAAGGAATCTAAATAAAATATAATAGGGACATTTTACAGAACAATACATTAAATGCATTACACTATTCGGACTATTGTTCTGATCTTTGTCGCCATGTTTATTACAACGTTTCGTCCATTGTACGCTCCGGCCTTCTTCAGGTGGTTGGAATATCGAACTGAACCCTTTATTTCGCTCACTGGGGTAGACTCTTCTAGTTCCACGTGACATGTCTAATGGATTTCAGTTATCAGTTATCTCCTGTGAATTCCCCTCTCCAAGTTCTCCACCACCTTAACCAGGTATTGAACTCACACTCTTTGGGTCCTCTCACTGGATCTGACTAATGCCTTTATCCACTGTTCCATGTGTCCTTGAGGACTTCTGTTTATAAATTTCTGGGTATTATAAACCTAATGTCTTCAGCAACCATGTTTACCAGTGCTCATATTGCAATGTTTGCTGTTATCATTGCATGTCATTGGAGAGGGGAATTAACAGGAGATAATCGATAACTGACATCCATCTCAGCTTGCGTTTGCGGTTTTCACCGACTACCTACCCCAGCTCACTGAGGGTAATGCGGCGTCCGGCACTGAAAAGAACGGCTAATAAATCAACATTCGTGTATACGGTTGTTGCCCTTTTAATTTGATTTTTACTCATGAATACCTTTTGAAGTCGACCATCTTTAATTGGTCGCACATGTTTTGCTGATTGATAAAGTGCTCTTCGACGCTTCGTCACTGTCACAATGCTTCATAGTTTGACAAAGATGGATTTTTTTAATAACTAACTCTCTTGATACGAGACACAAATCAGTGAGATAAGATCCTCACTTTGCTCTTATCAGACGTAAATCGGAATTCTCCAGAACCTTCGATGAACTTCTTCACACTTCGGTGCTACCCGTCAATCATTTTAGCAATTCCACGCTATAATCCTTTTTCAATTTACAAGTTCTGAAGTTATTCAAATATAAATTGCTATCATATATATATATATATATATATATATATGATAGCAGTTATATATTTATATATATATATATATATATATATATATATATATGAACAAAAATGTTTTGATATTTAAAAAAAAACAGCGGCTGATACTGCTATTAAGTATTACTCATCAAGTAAATTGAATTGAGTTCTCTGAATATATATATATATATATATATATATATATATATATATATATATATATATATATATATTAGGTAGCTCCACAGATTTTCTAAAAAAATAATAATAATGAGCATTCCGTGATGAAAAACGTTACAAACTCAATAAAAACAAAATTTTATTGTCAGAATCTTTGTCATTACTCTTAATAATGACAACAATGATAAAAGCCAAAGGATTTTTTAATTATAAAATCATATTTTTATTTTTTTTAGAAAGTTCGAAATTTTGGTTAAAAATCTTGTGTTTATGGCGTTAGCAGGGGTATAAAAGGTTAGTATAGGAAATTTTAACGTTTTTTTTTTGTTTTTTTGTTTTTTCTGGTTAATTTGAATTGTTTCAAAAATCAAATAATATTCCGATTTTAATGATGCTTGCAGGACTTATTCACACATCAATGAAATTATTTTAGAAATTCTTTCTTTTTTTAAGCACGAAGCGAGGTGCACGAAGTGGCGTACACGAAGAAGGTGCTGAAGGTACACGAACGAGGTGCACGAGGTGGCGTACACGAAGCGAGGTGCACGAAGTGGCGTACACGAAGCGAGGTGCACGAAGTGGCGTACACGAAGCGAGGTGCACGAAGCGAAACAAATAAAATTATATTTTTAATTATTTTTTTTCTTTACACCTCGCTCGTATAAACGAAGCGCGAAGAGTTGTGATTCCATCTTTTTTTGGCTTTTTCGTGCCTGTATTTATTAGAAATTAATATTAAACGGTTCTGTTTCTGCTTTTGAAGGTAAAGAAAAATACATTTTCAAACACGTCTCACAAAAAAAAAAATTCATTTGTAAGAGGAATAATTATTTAACTTGGTGATTTTAAAAAAATTAAATATTCACATAATACAAGGCACAATAGGCAATCAAGATAGAGATCTAATGACTGAGGCTGTTGTATGAGGAGATTATGAGGATATGTAGGGTAGATAACGGTTGACACTAGACTTGAAGAGATTAAGGTTGTAGTGGCGGTGGAGTAATGGTTAGCGGCTCGGATTGAGGAATTGGAGAGCCGAGTTCGAATTCCACTCGAACCTATTACATTCACTTACGTGCTAATGCCCTTAGGAAAAGTGTGAATCCTCTTCTTCTCCCCCTCATCTATGGGTAAGTAGGCTTGGATAATCTACCGCAGAAAGAAATGGCAACCTACTGCGGGAAAAAATCTGCCTCGTCAGTCATGTATCTATACATGATCTGCTAAGCGTGTATCACGTACGGCACATAACTGACTGATAAGAGAAGTATCCTGTGCGTGCGTGTTTGGAGATTATGTACTTTTTCATTTTTCTTTTTAATCACTTGACTCCGAGCAAGGCAATAATGTCTTTGCATCAGAGTGGCACTATAAGTTTTATACAATAATGTTTATTTTTTTACACAATAATGTCTATTTTTTTAATTTATTTTTATTCTTTTATTTATAGTTTTATTTATTATTTTTTTTATTTCTATCTACAGTTTTATTTTTTTTACATACAGTTTTATTTATTTATTTTTTATTTCTACTTATAGTTTTATTTATATATTTCAATTATAGTTTTATTTATTTACTAGCAGCATGGCCCAGCGTTGCTCGTGCTTGATTCAAAAATAGTACGACTAATACAGCAATCGCTATCACTTGACTTAAAATATTTTTGCCCTTCCTTGTCTTTAGAGGAGTGTCGTGCTGATGTTGTTACATGCCTTACTTCTTGCCTATATCACACTACCAACTTTTTATAAGCTCTATAGTAAACATTAAATCTGTTACAAAAAAAGAACTAAACAAAATAAACACAATACGATCAGCTTTAAAAAACCGGAAAAAATATTTTTACGGGTTGACCGATTGTCAATTTGCACTCTGTTTGGGGTGGGGAGGGTGCTCAGAGTTGAAACTTCATATGATTACTCCCAATGGCCTCTTCATAAATCCGCTTGGTTTTCGCTAAGAATCGACATGCGGTTCAGATGCAATCTGGGCGTATCGGTTTTTGGGTTTTATCGATTTTCCGCGCTGTTTAGGGGTCCGTGGTCATGAAACTTCTGGACAACACTTCTAATGGGAGACTCTAAGAGGGTGTCAGATTTGGTTGAAATGCGATCATTCCTTCTGTAAGCAGAATTTTTTCGATTATCGATTTTTTCGGAACCTGATTCCGAACTCAAAAATCGGGCTCCGTCATGTCCTTACGGCAGCCATTTGCAAACTTGTGTTGAAAACCGCATCGAAATCGGGTGAGAAATGCGGCCTGGGCGAGGTAACAACGCCCACGACAGACACACAGACAGACAACATGAGAAATATAGATAGGAGATTTCTATTTTTTACTTATTTTAACCTTATTTTTATTTATTATTTATATTTTTATTTTGCTACTTATAGTTTTTTTTTTTACTTTTTATTTGTTTTATTTTTTATTTACAGTTTTATTTTATTTTTTTATTTATTTATTTATTTATAATTACAAACCGGAAACGGCAACAAAATATGTTGGTTGCAATTAAAAAATTTGTCTGTAATTAAAGCCTTTTATAAACTTGAATAACATTGAGATATATTTAGTAAGTAAATAGGTTAATGAACCTTTACTTCTTGCAAAGCACTCCGACCCTCCGTGCGATATTAAATTATGTAGTGTAAAGTAAGGTGATTTTTTAAGCATAGCTTCGATGTGGCACAAGGCCGAAAGTATGGAGCACCCAGTGAGGGTCAAACTCACTAATGAGTCGTAATTGTTCTGACGAGACAAGCTTTGTAACCATTACACCAAGTCGAGGTGCCCTGATCTTCTAAGCGTAGGCTTAGATGTGGCACAAGGCCGAAAGTATGGAGCACCAAGTGGGAATCGATCTCACTACTCAGTTGTAATTGTTCTAGCGAGATAAGCTTGCTAACCATTACACCACGTCGAGGCGCCATAAAAATGATTTTTTAAGCGTAACTTAGATGTGGCACAAGGCCGAAAGTGTGGAGCACCCGGTGAGGACTGAACACACTATTCAGTTGAAATTGATCTAGAGAGAAAAGCTTGGTAACCATTAAACCACGTTGAAGTGCCCGAAGACCCTGCAACATAAGATCGAGACAGGATTGTTAGAAATTAGAATTTGGTCATCACCAGCAAATTAGTTTGAATACTACGATTATCGTAAATTTTACATGTCTTGTGGGGGGGTCATAAAACATTTACACAAACCAAAACAAATGATTCCTATCACTGTTAATCTGTTTCAAAAGTTAATATATTTAATTTACATTAATTTAATTATTTTTAATTTAAAATTATTTTGCTATAAGTCATTGAAGGGAGTGCGTCTAGTGTAACAGATACGTTCCAATATATATATATATATATATATGTGTGTGTGTGTGTGTGTGTGTGTGTGTAAAATAAATGATTATTTCACCTCAAGCAAAGCAATAAAGCCACTAAAATGTAAGGGATTACTGAGCGGTAGAAAATATTAGGAAAAAAATCTATTACGGTGCGAGAATAATAAAAGAACGGAAATTAAGAAGAGAGAAGAAAACGATTAAAAGTTGACTGGAAAGCAAGAAGCCGGAAGAGAGTTCCACAAATGAGAAGTACGAGAGAAGAAACTCTTAGTAGAGAACTTGCGGTTATATCTAGCTATTTCAACTGTAAAATTATTAGATCTTGCCGCCAATCTAATAATGAGCTTAAATACGTACAGACTAGGTACCATAGTTCATCAGGACAATTACCATAAAAGTATTTATCGAAAAGCCACAGGGAAGATACGGCGTTGGGAAAAATGACTGAAGCCGAGATGCCAGTTCAGGATCAATAACATTGCAGTTTCAAATTTGGATTTTATCAAGAATATATATATATATATATATATATATATATATATTTCTTAAACGTTATTTTTTGTTTGTTTGTTTCTCTGTGTGTGTGTGTGTGTGTGTGGTTACGATGTTCGCTTTCTGACCATGAGACTCGAGTCTGAATCTCACGGTAGTCGATTTGTCGGCCCAGGAAGACGATACCATTGATTGATCAATCCATGATAGATTATAGACGCAACTGTTCCAATGATATCGATTGTTGGGCTAACACGCTCACAAGTCATCGTACTCGAGATTTTAAGGGTATTGCCAGCCATTATATATAGGATGCGATGGATAAATTGTAGTCATCTTATATTTCTAATATCGTGCATGCGCAATGTTTTTTTATTTCGCCAACTGCACCGTATAGTAGGGTCAGTTGGGCACCGTCTGTGAGAAAAAGAGCATCATGATGCAATTCACTCTGCCAGAAATTTGGAAACGGCATGTTGCATTGCTTGGCATTTGTTCTGGAAGCTCCAATACAAACATTTCAGAGTGTTTGGGTATCAATCTGAGGACAGTGCAGAGGATTCAGAAAGAGTTTGATGATATATCCAGTCAACATCATGGTGTTTGCAGTGATCTCTAATGATGACAACGTCATACCTCCATTCATCTTCCCCTGGGGCCTCAGACTCAATACGGGGGCCCACATCAAGGGCCTTGAGGAAGTAGTGCAGCCCTGGATCAAGAGGGTGATTGCTGGAAGACCTAATATCTGGCAATAGGACTCTGCATCATGTCACACAAGCAGGAGACCCCAGTCATGGCAGTCAGACAATTTCTACTACCAACATTACCACTTACATCTCGTCACCTAACTCCCCAAACTGCACCGCCTTGATTATTATATGTGGGGTGCAGTTGAGCGAGAGACTAACAAAACTCCTTGTAGTATCAAAGATGAACTGAAAAGGTAAGTATTGTGTAAGTATTCACCAACTTAAACGAGAAGACTGTCCAGAAGAGTTGCAGGAGATTCCGAAGTCGTCTTGAGTCCCTGGTTGAAGCCAAAGACGATTTTATTGAATGAATTTACTGTTTAGTAATTCAAGATATTTTATGAAAAATTGGTAAATATATCTATTAAAACGAGATATCAGTGTTATTTTCATTTTTGCCATTTTAGACGACAATTTATCTATCTCACTTTATATATATATATATATATATATATATATATATATATATATATATATATATATATATATTTCAAATTATAGGTGCAGTTATAAATAACTGATCCAACGTGAAACTTTCGGACAATAAGTGTGACATTACTGTAATTATTGAACAATATAGTTCATGCCACATTGACAGAAAACTTACCAGTAAAAAAGAATTCTCTTATTACTATATTTGTACAAAACGCACAACCTTAAAATTTAAAATTCAAACTCAGCGTTGCGACCGCACGTTCCAAAATAATAACACATTTCTCATAGCATTTTTTCGGATTACATCTCTATTTTCGTTGTCCTCTTATTACCGAGAAGCAAAAACAAGAACAAATCTACTTCCATACCTGAGGATGTCTGTAAGAACAGACGAAAGCTTGTAAAAAATTAAAAAAACCTTATGCAACTGGAATTTATAAACAGGGATCATAACATTCATCTACAGGTTCGGGGTTGGTGTATCTTTTTGATATTGTTTGCGAAGATGTATTCTCGCCATTTAAATCATTAACCTCTCTATTTGTTTTATTGTATGAATGATTCATATATATATATATATATATATATATATATATATATATATATATATATATATATATAGTTGATTGATGAATTTGTGACCTTGGGTTCCACGCTCTCGGTGATCGTCAAACTGATTAATTTTTGAAATTTTGGATTTATTTATGGTTGCGTATATCGGTGTTTTTATGGTAGTCGGGGGAAAAATTGTGGTCGGAATGCCACTCATACGTACGCAGACATAAATACACGCATGTTCACGCATTGCAGCTCACACAAACATGAACATATATGAACAGTGTGAGACTGGACGTATATGCGCATCCATGTGTCTTTGCGTGCATACGTACGCAATTGGTTGTTGTATTCAATGTTGGATTGTGTAGCGAACTTCTTCTTTCCAAGAACACAGCACAACACACGAATATATACAACATGGCGGTCAACACAAAAATGATTCCGTTCGGGTTAACTCGGATCGACTCGGTTCAACAATGTTGTTCGAGAACCGAAATTTTGTTTGATAACCGAGGCATTTTCATCTCGAATATTCTGTACAAAAACCGAATTGTTCGAGAACTGAGGTTGCTCTGTATTTTTTTTTTGTTTTGTTTTTGTTTTGGGGTATATAGCCTAGCCAATTTCATTTAGTTTATTTTGTAACCGTTTTCATTACCTTGATTTTCTTTTTGTTGATATGTGCATATATAGTCATCCACAGACAGACTGTATCGCTGTATCACAGCTCATCTGTGTTGCTAGACGCCCGGTTGCCTATAGTTAGGATCGAAACCCGACTGAATTGATTCAGTCGAGGATTCTACCACTAAGCGTTGGCGCACGGCAGGGATAAAGGTGAATTAAAGTTTATTTAATTCTAGATAAACACACAGTGACTGAGAGAACTCGATTCGAATTACCGAAAAGTCTTGCACTATAAGCCGTAATAGTCACTGTTTACAAATCAACACTTCCTCTCCAGAGAGCTCAACCGAAATAAATTCTTCAGGAGCATATATATATATATAGGTTCTGTACGCTTGGATGCCCGTGTGATGTGATGGATAACGGCTCGGTGAGCCAAGTTCCACTTTTAGTTGGGTTCGTTATATTCACTTGTGCATAAACACTCTCGGGAAATGTATGAATGTGCCTCACTCCTGCCTCAGCTACGGGTTAATTAATACGATTTTTATCAGTAAATCATTATTATCCCCTAAAAATTCTTACAATCTAAAACTGGCTTTAAATAACCTGCAGGGGTTGATAAACCGTAAAAATCAAATCAATCGGAGAATGGTATATATCCCTGTAAAAGTATATTATCTGCTCTTGTAAATAAACGTCAATTTACTTATGGTGATTTACTAAGCATAGCTTAGATGTGGCACAGGACCGAAATTATGGAGCGCCCAGTGAGAATTACACACACTATTCAGACGTAATTGTTCTAACGAGAGAAGGCTGCTAACCATTGCATCACATCGAAATGGCCTAAAATGAACATTTAAGCGTAGCTTAGATTTGGCACAAGGCTGAACATACGGAGCACTCAGTAAGAATCACAATCGGAGTTGCTCATGAAACAGGAACACAATGGATTACTATTTCTTGGTATTATGTTGAACCATTATCTTCAAACATAAACATCTACTGGAGAGAAACCTTTTAGCAGCTAACTTGACATGCGCACATTCGCTTTCCTCAACCGGCGACAATCAACAAAATGTCAACATTTCTGATAGAAGGTAATTACATAGCCAATAGCCCCGCCTGTGCTTTTCCCCGATTCCAATGTAATTAAAGAGCTATATTCCGATTGACACGTTGTTCGTGGTTTCAGTGCCTGTCCAGTCATTTGAAAGGCATTTTCTCGGAGAGACACGTCGCTCTGCCAAAAGCATCATCGGAGACTGTCCATTGTAAACGGAGCCGCGGCAGCGAAAGTCAATTTACAAAAAAAAAGAAAATGTTTGTAAAGCCGTTGAATCAAAGTCATAGGACAAGTTTTCAGCAACAGGGGCTCAGAAGACAAGAAACATCAGAGTTTCGATAACTAAAAACAGTCAGTTTTAGCTATTTTACTGATGAATGCTTCCATTTAAGCCAGAGGTTCCCAACCACCGGGCCGGGGACCAGTACCGAGCCGGAAACCAGTACTGGACCAGGGACCAGTATCGGGCCGTGGACTATTTGGTACCGGGCCGGGGACGAGTACTGGACCAGGGACCAGTACCGGGCCGGGGACCAGTACCGGGCCGGGGACCAGTACTGGACCAGGGACCAGTACCGGGCCGTGGACCAGTACCGGGCCGGGGACCAGTACTGGACCAGGGACCAGGGACCAGTACCGGGCCGGGGACCAGTACTGGACCAGGGACCAGTACCGAGCCGGGGCCAGTACTGGACCAGGGACCAGTACCGGGCCGTGGACTATTTGGTACCGGGCCGTGGACCAGTACTGGACCAGGGACCAGTACCGAGCCGGGGACCAGTACTGGACCAGGGACCAGTACCGGGCCGTGGACTATTTGGTACCGGGCCGGGGATCAGTACTGGCCAGGGACCAGTACCGGGCCGTGGACTATTTGGTACCGGGCCGTGGACCATTTGGTACCGGGCCGCACAGTAAGATTACATACTTTTCATTTTACTTCGGTGTCTTGTTTATTGTGTTTTGTTATGCGCGTGACCGGCACCGACTACCCACCGGTCTGTGGGAAAATTGCCTAGCATGGCACCGATCCGCAGCGCAAAATGTTTGGGGATCGATGGTTTAAGCGACCTTCATTACATGTAGAATTGGCATTCTTTTTCTTTCTTTTTTTTGCTCCATTTCGATTGTGTACGAATTACTTTAAAGAAGATGATTTGAATCATCATCATTTATATGTCGTGTCACTTCAGGACATAGGCGATCATGGCTCTCCACAACTTCCTGTTCCTTCGAGATTTAAGCAATGTTTGACTCTTTACCATCTCCCCATAAGCGTGATCTGCCATTCCTTCATACCACTTATGTGCCGTGTTTTCTTCAGGATAAAGGCGATCATGGCTCTCCACAACTTCCTGTCCCTTGTAGATCTAAACAACGTTCGATTCTTTACCAGCTCGCCATAATCCTGCTCTGCCATTTATTCACGCCTTTTATATACCGCGTCCCTTCTGGACGTAAGCGGTTGTAGCTCCCCACAGCTCCTTGGCCTTTATAGCGCTAACATTTGACTTTAACATCCCTTCGTGAAGACAATGAGCCGGTCGATGGATTCCTCAGTTGGAACCAACGTCCACGCGTGCGTGAACAAGGCGAGCTTTCAAGCTGGAGAAAACCGGTAGTGGTCTGACCAGGTATACTTTGCCCAAGATATTAATGAATGCCTCACGAAATATATGGACGGAGCTGGTTAGGTGGTTAACTACGCAGCGAACATACGACCACACCCTGTCATTGGACTGATTATGACGATGGTGATGTTTTCAAAGAGATTGTTCTTCCTGATTAAAAGACGATGTCATCAAATACAAAGGACGTTGTACGCATGCGTATAGTCTAGGAAAGCAAACGCTTAAATGCAAATGGAAGCTTCTTATTTTAATCGCATCTGATGGACGTAGCAGGTTTTTCTTAGTTTCTGAACGATCTGATGCAAAATAATCCAACAGTTGACACTGAGAAGTAACGTCTAATAAATATTATTCCATTTGAATGTGAACTCATTTCATGGTTTGATGGATATCACTTGGGTTCAACATTTTTTTTTAAAAAAGAGCATTCGTCACTTTTTCAATTTTTTTTTCTTTGGTTGGGATGAAATTTTGTGGGTGTTATGAATCTGTGTGTGTGCAAGCACGCGTGTGTGTGTTCGTAAATCCTTCCATGAAAATGGCCATAATTCATATTTTTGTAATTATGGTCATTTTCGCCTGCGTAAATTTAATTTTTTTACAATGCTTTTTGTTGAACTTTTCCCTGGCACCGTACTTGACTAACAAACCAACACACCATCACGAACCTCATCACCCCTTAGGGTCGTAAGCACACCTATTGCTGCCATAGTAGGAGTGAGGCTCACTGGGTAAGACAGCCGGATGAAGCCTAACCTTCTCGAGACAGGTTTGAATTCAGAATTTTTTCTTCTCCTAGACTAGTTGCAACCAATGCTATCTGTACTGTAATTTACCCAAAGCCTGGAGGTAGGTAGAAGAAATGAATTCATACGTTTTCAAGTGAATTTAATGAACACGACTGGTATTCGAACTCGGTTCTCCGATTCCACAATCCGAGTCGCTATGTATTACTCCACCGTGCCTCTACACAAGCCACTTGCTCCCACAATGCTTTCAATATTAGTCTTATAAACCAGAAACACGATAATTTTATTTGCTTTGATGCACACTGATGTCACTGTTGTTAAATTACAATTACGTTGTGTTGCGTTACGTTATAACAGCTGGAGATGCATCTTAAATCCAATTGCTCTCAAATAATCGCACGACTTTACAATCTTCGATGTCCCTACTTTATTTACTTTGTGTTCTGTTTCTTGTAAACGTGCTGGTTTACACCGTTACTGAACAGAGCCTCATGTTATCAGTTTCATTTTCTTCCTGAGCCAAACATTCAATCGTCAGAAAATACCCGCCAGTTATTTAGCACAAAGGTATAAACCCCAAATGTCTCTCAGTTCGTTTTCGAATATGTCCGTCTACTAGGGCGGATACCTAATACCTTTTCCTCGGGTACATTTCAGTCTCTTCAACGCCTATAAACCAACCCCTGGCTTATAATGCGACTAAACTGAACGGACCTGAGGAATTGTCGAGATCAACAATTTTGAACAAGCCCAGCAACGCTCAAACCTTTCCTTGCGATGACTTCGTGTTGTCAAAATCATCAACAGCTTTCTAACAGTTCAGTCTACCCAATTTTGCTCACAAGACATAGATCAACCGTGATATATTGTTCTCAAATATGCTGGCATCGTCTGCATACGTTGATATTATCACGAAGTCGCGTACTTGAAAAATTGACCATGGTGAGATTCGAACCCGAGTCCCATAGTCATCACGCTAACATTCTAACGACTCCAAATTAGTACTCTTACAAGTCATACGTTAAAAAAAAAAAATTCTTATCTTTTGCAAGACTAATAGTGTACTGTACATGAATACTACCATATAGAAATATACGCCTGTGTTTATGCTTTGCATGTCGACGACATTGAGTTATCAACGAATATATCCAAGGGACAATTGTAACTTTATCGTTATAAAGATGTATAAAAATACAAGACTAAATCATTCATTATTTACATTGCTCGGACTATCATCCTTCATCTTTGTTGCCATATTTATCATAATGTTTCGGCCGTTGTACGCCCCAGCTTTCTTCAGATGGTTGGAATGTCGAACTGAACCCTTTATTTCGCTTGCTGGGGTAGACTGTTCTAGTTCCACGTGCCATGTTTAATGGATGTCAATTATCAGTTACCTCCTGTTAATTCCACTCTCCAAGTTCTCCACCGCCTTAACCAGGTAGTGAAGAAGACCGAACCGTACAACGGCCGAAACGCGATAAATATAGCAACAAAGGTGAGTCCGAGCACTGTAAATAGTGTACATAATACCTCATCTCGGAAATATAGAGAGATATTAAATATTTCATGCCTAAAATTATTGCTTAATTATGTCTGGATTTCGTTAATTCATGTCGGTGTGTAGATCTAGGGACTTTCTTCAAACGTGGATCTTATAACGATTGTCGCTTGGTTGCTAAAGGCTAGTGATGAAATATAACGCTCTTCTTCTTTACTAAATCCGCATAATTTTTTTCGAGTGTTGTCTTAAAATTATCAAATTAAGAGTCGTACTTATTTGAATAAATCTTTCACTTCTCCAGTATGAATAGGCTCATAAAGCATCACCTTTAAATAAAGAACGGTTTTTGTTCAGGTTAGTTATAGTTATTTTGCGTGCACTACTGCCTCTTGCGTTCCACATTGTTTTAAAGTATCTATTTCTCTAGGCCTGTGCAATTTGTTTCAAACGCTGAACATTTCCATTCTGCTGAAATACTTAAACACACAGGGAATGTATACACTAAAGTGACTATCATAACCAAATTTGTGTATCAAAATAGGATCAGTATTTGTTTGAATCAATCTTTTGCTTTTTCAGAATTAAAATCTTCATAGTAGGAAACAGTAGATAGCTTTCTTTCATTGAAGCCCGGTCTTTGTTACAGTTAGCTGTAGTTATTTCGCGTACACCACGGTCTCTTGCGTTCGACGTTGTTATAAAGCATCCACTTTTCATCGTGCGTCACAATTTATTTACAAAAAACGGAACATTTCTTTCACGTTTAAGTAATGAATTTCACGCAGGTGTGATTAGCATAACAACGTTAATGTCGGTGATTTTTAACGCTTGATTTGAATATTTTTCGGATTTTCCGTCTTTTATAATATTGTTTATTCTCAATTAATGGTTTTCTTTGGTTGCTATAAACGTCAACTGATTTATCCGATCATAGAGCTTTGTGAAACTTTGCAAATTACGTTCTACACATTTAACTTTTCTTAAAATAAGACTTCATGATATGCAGTAATTGTTATTTATTCTTCAATATCAGTCTTATAAACCAGAAATACGATAATTGTATTTGTTTTGATGCACGCTGATGTCACTGTTGTTAAAATACAATTAAAAAATGCGATGCTTTTTTAAATGAAAAACCAAACACTCCTAATGCCATTTTACGAGGAAAAAGAACAGACTTTTCCTGTTATCCAACCTATATAACACCACAAAAAGTTATTTCGTAACAATTAACAGTTCCGACCTTGAATATATATTTTTTAATTCTTATTTTCTTTTTGTTTGTTTATTTTCATTTATTTTTATTTATTTATTTGTTAAGGAGAAATTCAACACGCAAGGCCATTAGCCTGTAGTGATTGAATTTTTTTATAGCTAAAAATCCTATTCATTTTTTTCAATGTCGCAGATCGTAAAAATTATTTATATGTGTAAACTGAGCAGGACAAACTACTGGAATGAAGAGGGAGAGGAGGGTAAGTATTGATCGTACTTTGTCAAAAGTTGTTTTGACAGAAAGCTAGTGTTCACTAACTGAGAGGGTGACAAGAAAGGCAAAACTGGTTACATCCTCTAAAACATCGTCTACCCATTCTGTCTGTTCAAGAACACCTTCCTTCACAACTGTTTCATACTGTCTGACACGAGGCTGTGAAAATATCCCACCCCATTATGGTGCAATAAATTACGTAAATCAATGAAGATCTGCATCATAGGCAGAAAACATTCCGCCGTGCGAAGATAACACGCCTATAACTGAACCTCTTTATAAAGGGGGTTCCAATAACTTGGACCGAATTTAAATGTCAATTAACATTAACGTCTAATGATTTTGTTCGTTTTCTTACAGATTTAACAACTTAAGTCAACCATGGAAAGATTAACATTCAGACAACGTGTTAAAGTTTCAAGAGTGCAATTGGAAAAATTGTTCGTAAATTCAAACAAACTGGGTCGGTGGCAAATGTGAAAACACCATTGCATGCTTGTTTACGTCGTTCAGCTGAAAACATTGCACAAGAATGTGGCCGAAAATCCAGAAAATCTATTCGTCATCACACGCAGGAACAATGTTACACCGTTTCCAATTGCACTCTTGTTGACCAAAAAAATCGCAATGAACATCCATTTTTGTAATAGGCTTCGATAACTTTCACACCTTGTTTAATTGTTAATCTTTCCTTGGTTGAAATTGCCGAAGAATTAAGCTGTTAAATCTGAAAGAAAAAGAAAAAAATCATTAGACGCTTAAACTTAATTCACATTTAAAATCGGTCCAAATTATTGGAACACCGTTTATTTACCAATCTTCTGGCTGTCATAAATCTCCCAGCGGTTAATGGGCTTATGGCCATATCACGTTGGAACACCGGTTCTCGTACGATCACCGAAGTTAAGCAACGTCGAGCCTGGTCAGTAACTAGATGGGTGATTCCTTGGTAATACCAGGTGCTGTAAGCTTAAATGTGCGAGTGAATCAATGGATAACGGTTTGAAATTGGAAATCGGTGGGTTGAGTTTCAATTCCAGTTGGGTTCGCTATATTCACTTACGTGCAAATACTCTTGGGAAAGTTATGAATCCACCTTTTCTCCCATCTATGGGTTAATTAGTAGGAATAATTCAAAACTAATTAAAAGAGAAATAAATCAAATCTGTTTTAATTTCTGGAATGAGGAATTATTATTATTTGCACTATTTACATGCGAACTATTGTCCTCATCTTGTGATGACAACAAAGATGAGGACAATAGTCCGCATGTAATTAGTGTAAATAAAACAAATGTTAACAGTATGATACCCTTTGAAGCAATCCTCGTCCAATGTGGTTATGCATTCTTTGCTCCAAGTTGTTGCGTCGCTATTTTTCACTTCTTTTCTCTTCGAAAAGTGTATGTATGAAGATATAGCACTGTCTGTGGTTTGTTCTTACAGATTTATTTGCAGACGAATACTCCAGGAAATGACTTAGCCTTATGAATCTGAGGAAATGGTAAAGTTCAGAAATTGTAGAATTTCCAATTAGGCATTCAGACTCGAATAATGAATAAGAAAGAAGCCCGTCTCGTTGAAAAAGGGTCTAAATCATCAATTAATGATATCCTCTGATCTCTAATGAAACATCAACTAATGATACCAGCCTTTTTTAAGTGTGAATCGCATAGGTTTCAATCTTCATAGAAACAATAACGAATTTTAATTATGTGCGTTTTTGTTCCATTATTATGATAATTCTTAAAGAATTCCCTGCGCAAGGGAGTTGTGTATTTCTTGCACCAAGCCGTCATTATTTTTCGCCTCCTTTCAATTTCAGAAGTGAGCTTGAACTCATAGCACAGATTTGACTTTTTGTTCTAGTTTTATTTGCAGGCAAATACTCCAGGAAATGATATAATCTAACGAATCCCGTCAGATAATAATCTCATGAGTCGTAGAATTGCCAATTAGTCATTCAGACTCCAATCATGAATGAATAAAGCCTGTCTCGTTGAAAAGGGTTTAAATCATTCATTTTTGATAGTAGCTGATTTCCAATGAAATATCAGCTGACGATACCAGCCTTTTTAAGTGTTAATCGCATAGGTTTCAATTTTCATAGAAACAATAACGAATTTTAATTATGGGCGCGTAGTAAGTCAATGTAAACATACAACGAGACACTCATCCAGATTCCCAAAGACCGGTCAATGATTACTCCACGTTAGGTTTCGATTCTCGATCATGTCCGTGTGCATCAAAAACTGACGACGATCCGCTGTATGTTCACAAAGCTGAACATATATGCAACGTCGAGAAATGATAAAAACAAACCTCGTTCCTAATATTGTAAAATAGTTGTTTTCATTCAGGAATTCTCTTACTCTGTCTGGGTGAATAGATAGAAGACGGGACAATTTCTGCTAACAACTCGATTCTTCCTTCCTATTAACTTCTGCTCTTCTACGACGGGCGGTTAGCAATACGAAAGGTTTGCACTGGAACTATGTGAATGACAGTCTGTCTACCATGATCGATAGCAAGGGTTGTCAAACGGGGTCCGAGCAAAATCCTAGGTATTGGTGAGGATTTCCAAGTGATATATGATAGTGAAATGGTCGAATGGGGATCATTGTGTGAATGACTTTCTATCTTTTTTTGAGCCATCTCTTAAGTTTTGTCTTTTTGTTAATTCTCCAAAACCTTGTTCTCCGATCTATTTGAAGGCTCATCAAAAAACATTACACGCTGCTTTCCTCTGTCCCTTTTTCACTCAATCTCTTCTGTGAGTATCAAGTTTTCCGCACCCACTATCCTCATTACGTGCTCCAGAAATTTCAACTGCCTCTTCCTGATCTTGAGTATAAGTTTCCTTTTTGTTTCCATTTTCTTCCGTTGCTCACATGTTCGGCCCATGGTATCTTCAGTATCTGTCTATAGAACATTTCTGTTGCTTCATCTTTGATGAGATTGTCCAGTATTCGCTGTCATACAGGAGGACAGATATCACATGACAGTCCAGTACTCATTTCTTAAATTTTAGTTAGTATACATGTTGTATTCGTCTGTGCAGATGAAAGAAAGGCACTGAGCTCGATGGCCAACAGAATCAAAAGCCTTAGTGACATTTATCCAAATAGATTTGAACTTATTTTCTATTTTCAAAAGTAAATTCGTCTCTCCACGATTCCCGTAGTACATATTGGCCATAGAGACACTATATGTATAGCAACCATAGCAACGGTGGTGTATCTAAGGCAGGGACCGTCAAACAGGACACGAGCGACTTCCTAGAGGTCGGCGAGGAGTTCTAGGGTTTCAATGATAGCCAAAGGGTCGGTGTGCGAATGACATTGAGCTAAATTTTAGTTAGTATACACCTATGTTGTATTCTTCGATGCAGATGAAAGAAAGACACTGAGTTCGACGGTCAAGAGAATCAAAAGGCTTAATGACATTTATCCAAATAGATTTGAACTTATTTTGATGAGATTTATTTAATTTCATTACTTGCTCTTTTTTTAATTGTCCCAAGTTGATTTTCAGGTAAAAATTCCCCCTTTTTTCAACTTCTAACTGTAAAATAGAGTTTACAATTCTGAAAGTCATTTGGCCCGATTGGTATGATTGCATCAAGTAATATTTGTTTATTTACTTTAATTAGTACAATTGTGAAGTTAGATATTAGTAGCTGATATGCATTTCTGTTCAGTAGCATCGGCCATATTTAGGCTTGGTGTACTTAATATATTATTTGCTTGATTCATTGTAGTTATTTATTATATTTTAAAATATAATTTGGGGGGAATCTATCCAAGTAACTTTGAACTGATTTTGATGAGACTCATTTAATGTTACATTGAGCATTGCTTGTTCCTTTTTAATTGTCCCAAGTTGATTTTCAGATAAGAATTCACTATTTTTCAACTTCTAATTGTAAAATAAAGTTTACAATTCTGAAGGTCATTTGGCTTGATTGGTATGATGGTATCAAGTAATATTTGTTTATTTACTTTAATTAGTTAGTACAGTTGTGCAGTTGGATATTAGTAGCGGTTATGCACTTCTGTTCAATAGTATCGATTATATTTAGGCTTGGTGTACTTAATATATTATTTGCTTGATTCATTCGAATTATTTAATATATATTTCGAATGTATTTTGGCGGTAATTTCCCAATGACGCTGGAGGGGAATTTTGAACCTGATTCAAATTTCTTAACTTTTCAAACATTTTAGTTAACATTTATTTCATTCAAACTCAATGCTAGTTTTAAGGTTCAAATATATTTTTAAATGGGGGCCGCTGGCGAAGAGATTAAGCCAAAAGGTTGTATCTGGTCGAAAAAGATTGACGACACTTGATATCAACCAATCACCGGAAATACCCTATATCCGGTTTGTTGTTACTTGACCTCAGTTATTTTCCTTTACCTACTTGTTGTCTTGTTCCCCTTCGGTTCAGTTGGTGGCCATAAAACAGAAACGATCGAAATCGTGATAAGGTCGTTCAATATGGTCTCGCAACCATAGTGTCACAACAAACCTCTCGTGTAAAAAGTGTTATGCACTCTAGATGTGGCTGAACAATATTTTTTGACGCATAAATTAAAAGAAATGAACAAAAGATTAAACTTTAAAGAGGTCATGAGCAAACTGAGGCCCGCGAAGCATATGCGGTCCTAGGCATTCTGAATTGCACTACTAATTTAATGAGGAAAATAACATTAAAATCTTTATTTCCTTTCGTTGTCACTTGTTCACTCACACATTCTCATGTACAGCCATATATATATATATATATATATATATATAAACAAGGATTAAGAAAAATGTTTCTTGAATTTTGTAACTTTTCGTTGAAAGTAACGCTGTCAGCGTTTTAAATCATTGGCCATTTTCATTAAGGAAAATTTTACTTATTATAAAACGCAGATTGTGTGTGTGTGTGTGTGTGTGTGTGTGTGTGTGTGTGTGTGTGTACGTTTATATATTGATCGGATTTCCTACGTTTTCAAACTGATTTCAATAAAACTTCACAGGACTGCGTAAAATTACCTTGCGGTGGTTCTAACAGCGTCCAAAATTGGAAAAACACAATTGTTTTTGCACAAAATCTCTTTGAAAACACAATAAAACACGATTCTGTCGCCAGAATGAAAGGGGGACAACTCATATCGAGTTATACTTATTATAAAACCCAGGTTGTGTGTGTGTGTGTGTGTGTGTGTGTGTGTGTGTGTGTGTTCGTTTATTTATGGGATCGGATTTCCTACGTTTTTCAACCGATTTCAACAAAACTTCACCTTTTTTGCCAGATATTGTTTCTTATTGTCTTGCACACTTTTTTCTTTATTTTTACATTCAGAATGCTTTAAAAATTCCATTTACAAGACAATTGTTTATAATAAAATTCTATTCAATCGGTAGACTCATAACGATTGAAAACAATCTTTTTGTTTGAGTTTGGGTTTGACCAATTCATAAAAATAAAAAAAAATAAAAAAAAAAAAACTAAAAAAAAAAACTAATTAAGACATGCGTGTCCGTCAACCTTAAACAATAATCTTTGTCAATTTTATTTTTCAGTCTTTATGATACTTGATCTATCTCTTACTGTTACATCCCCGGGCAACGCCAGGATCTCCTGCTAGTCATAACTAAACACCTTTTGCTTCAGAAACAGGAAACGTTAATGAAAAATATTTTTCTCTAGAGAATATATACATTTTTAAAAAAAATGTTTCCGCGTTGTCAAATAAATAAATTATAAAGCAATCACACGTATAAGACTTCAGTTTCTTTTTAATTATAGAAGGGATCTATTCTTCATAGAAAAAGAAATCAACTTTTCCTCATTTCTAAGGCAGATGCTGATGGATATGCTCTTTTGTGGGGGAAAATGTCTGCTGTATCTTTAATCGAATATTATCTTCAATTTTTTCTTTTCTTTTTAGTAGTGCGAACCACCTGATGAGGGACT